GCAGGTGGCTGAGGGTGCTCAGGGCCCTTCCCCGTGGTTTATAAATAAGTCTGGGCTCATTGCAGGTCTTAGATTGGCCTACATGGCGTGTTGCCCTCACTTTGCTCAGTTAGAAGGACTGCTGTCAGTAAGATCAGCAAATAGCCATGCAGAGAACAACCCAGAACAACAACATCGAGTCTAAGTGGTAATACAAACACAAATTGAAGATCCTCTGGCAAACCTTGCTCCCAGTCTACAGAAGCAGTTCATTGCAGTCTCAGGAATGGTCTGTTCTTACCAGAATGGCTATCTGGCTTTGTTGTCTTGCAAGTCATTTCATGCAAATGGACATTCAAATGTTAGACCATCTACAACCCTTAATGCTTCATAAACTGTAAGTGCTGGTCACCCAAAAGGCTTAATTAGTGAGTCCAAGCAATGAACACATTGACCAGTATGTTACTTGTGCATTCTTTAGGAGTCAATTGCTCAAAATGGCATTTGAACATTTGCAATGATTAAATTCTGGCACAGATTTAATTTCTTTATATATTGAATATAAACCAGTTATCTGAAACTCCCAGTTATAACATCTGACTTCATATTTACTAAAGCAAAAACAATGGAGTTCAGCAATGGATTGGAGAATGCGTAGACCATTTTATCACACACCCAAGCTTCAGAATAGAGGAAGGCACTATTTGTAAAGTGAGCAGTCAACATTTTGCAAGATTTCTGGACATATTTAAGATAAACCAGTAAGCTTGCATTTTACTGATTAAATCCCTGATTTAGGATTGGGATGCCACATTATGGTCCAAATCTCTTTCCTTCCAAGGAAGGAAGCAGTGAAGTAATGAACTTCTTTGGCTTGTTATGGTGTAGAACATCTGAATGTGGGAGAGCAGAGTTCTAGAGGCAGACGGTTCTGAGTCGGGGATCTTGGTTCTCTTACCTTCTAGCTGCATCACCACAGTTAGGATGGCTTGTAGGAGCTTGAGCATTTTACCTGATCCCTGGGAACCTGCATTTCCTCATCTATGAAATGGAAGTAGCTCCTAGATGTGTTCGTACAGATTGTTTCATACACTACATGTGACACATCTAGCACAGGACACTCCAATTCCAGATACTGGTATTTGTAAATAACAAGGATTTTCTCAGGCATTTTCTGACCTCTTTTCTCAAATGCAGGATAATTTTCAAGAGGCCACAGAACTGGAAGGATGTAAGACCACTTGAGTTGGCATCAAGAGATGGTGAAATTAATAGCACATAGATATCTGTGCTTAGGCATGGCTAGGTAACTTAAAATTATTAGTGGCAAGTTAAGAAGCCTCATCCACTGCAATTAGGTGGTTGGTGAAAACAGCACAGGTGGACATTAAGTTCCATGAAAGGCCAATGAAACCCACTTGAGGGAAAACAAGTTAGCTAATCCAGATTGCATATATACATATACGCCATGGATATTGTTGAAATTCATGAAAACAATCCTTTTCCTATTCTCCTGAAGATATTTTTTATCTTGAAGAGCTACTCCTGTCTTCCTGATGTGTATAACAATTTCTTAGATTTATATAGCTCCTGTTATGCATTTTCATGTAAGCTTCAGCCCAGTTCATTTAATAGTCACAGTATTTCTAGAAAATATACAAAGCAGATTGTAATCACGCAATTTTTGTTTTGTTTGTTTATTTTAAATGCAGGAGGACTATGAGACCCAAAGAGGTTAAGCAACTTGCCCAAAAGTCACATAGCTGTTTAGCAGCCAGAGAAACAAGACAGCTTGAACACTTAGTCCACTGAGCTGCCCAGGGCTTCTAAAACCATGAGGTGCACATGAATCATTGGGGATCTTGTTACAATGAACTTTCTGAATTCAGCAGATCTGTACCAGAATTCTGGGTGTCTAACATCCCAAAAGTTTCTGCTGCTCTAACTCCTTGTATGGTCTCTCATGGTACCCTTCACAATACCACGTCATGTCCCTCCTTAAACTTCTCTCCTTGCAACTGCACCATCTGGGTCTCCATCTAGTTTCCCTACCACATGTGGACCTTCTGAGAGCAGGAACTGTGTTCTCTTTACTCCTTTCACCTGGCTGCCCAGCACCATGCTGGCAAACAGGAACCGAATGAGTATTTTTGCAGGGTAAGGGAAAAATTACAGCTTTCCAATTGAAAAGCCACGACACTTGCATACTAACATTTTGATGACTTGTTGAAAAGGGGTGTTTATTACCTATCTGTTCTTGTCCCAAATCACATTATGATACTCCATTACCATTGCCGGGTCTGGAAATAACATAACCAAAAAAACCCTGCAGGGTTAACACGCTTAGACCTAGGCCTCCCGCAGCAGTGTGCTGCAGCTTCACCGGAACGGAGTCACACGGGGTGGGTTCATGTGAGGTCATTTGAAGGGGAAGTGTAGCATAGGCAGTGTGGCAGGCGCTCCAGCCCTCTGCTTGAAGGCAGCCACATCTCCCACATGAAGGTAACAATGCCAGCAGCCTGCCCTACGCCAGGCACTGTGGTAAGCACTTTGCACCAGTCAGCTTAACGCATCCTTTCTATGTGTCTATGAGGTAGGCACTCATGGTAGGAAAACTGAGATATAAGGTTGTCAGGCTGTAAGAAGTGAAGCTGAAGACTCGGACTAAGGCAGCCTGATTTCACAGTGGAGGCTCCTAACTCCTTGCCCACTTCCTGGAAGCTCTGGGGAAAAGAAACCATTGCCTAAGATGGACATGACTTTACTCAGTGTAATCCTAGGTTCTGACAGATCCCAAACAGAGGGGACTGGGGAGACACAGGAGGTGGCCCTGAAACCCAAAAGGAAGGGTCTGGTATGGCAAAAGAACAGCATTTCCTGCTAAAGTTTTCAATTAAGTTTGACTCCGTTTGACTTTATTTGGATTGTGGTTAAACATACAACACCACTAAAAGGTTAAGTAAGAGTCGGTTAAGGAGGATGTCTCAAAGGTCCAGATTCCTTTCACACTTCATTAGGTCTCTTATGAAACCGTGCATTAATGATTGGGCCAAATCCAGAGCGACAGGCATCCCAGGCAGGGAAGCGGAATTCTGCTAAGCATGTGTGTTCACAAAAACCCCAAAAGTCCAAAGGACAGAGAGACCTCTGTTTTTCAGAACGTTAAAAAAGCATTTCAGCAGTTATATTTTAACACTAAATCAGAAAATGAAGAAGTTAGGAAAATGGGAAGGGAATGCATTGTCACGTTGTCATGAAAAAAAGGGTGAATTCAATATTTCTTCTTGATAAAGATTTGCAAATGTGGAATAAGAAAATAAACAGGGACAACACTAAGTATAGCAACAGGGCTTGAACAAAACTGCTGTAAACAAAAAAACGGTGAGCTCTATAGATGTTTTTTAATTATACTTGTGTTATTAAGATATTCTTATCCACCTCTCAAGGCAACACAACATTACCGATTTTGATGGCTCGAGATGGAGTTCTGTCACTTCCTGGTTATGGCCTTCAGCTGGCGTCATTCCTCTAAGCTTCTGTTTCTCTCTCTGAAATGGGAACAAGAAGTACTTGCATCCTAGTATTATTCCAAGTCTCACCTTAGATGCCATACGCTGAGCATTGGTTCCAAATTAAACCCGTTTTCCCATTTGTTAGAAATTGTGTTTTCCTAAAAGACTATCCTAAGTATTTTGTTTCTACTCTAAGTCTTTGGTGGTAGAAATAGTTCTTACTTATTTAATCGCCTGGAGTTAAAAAAAAATAATCTGCCCACAAACAGATGAAATATGTGTAAGAAAATGGGTATGGCCGGCGCCGCAGCTCACTAGGCTAACCCTCCGCCTTGCGGCACCGGCACACCAGGTTCTAGTCCCGGTCGGGGCGCCGGATTCTGTCCCGGTTGCCCCTCTTCCAGGCCAGCTCTCTGCTGTGGCCAGGGAGTGCAGTGGAGGATGGCCCAGGTGCTTGGGCCCTGCACCCCATGGGAGACCAGGAGAAGTACCTGGCTCCTGCCATCGGATCAGCGCGGTGCGCCGGCTGCAGTGCGCTGGCCGCGGCGGCCATTGGAGGGTGAACCCACGGCAAAGGAAGACCTTTCTCTCTGTCTCTCTCTCACTGTCCACTCTGCCTGTCAAAAAAACAAAACAACAACAACAACAACAACAAAAAAAAACAAAAAACAAACAAAAAAAAGAAAATGGATATAAACTATGGGTACATTGTTTGTAAAGATCATGCTCTGTGGGGAGCAACTCAGACTAGACTGTTACTCGAATTAAGACTTATTCTATGCATCTGCTCTCCCACAATATGGCGCTGGGAGAGGAGGAAACAGCTTCTACACAGCTGCCTCCAGTTCAACCAATAAACAGCAGGACCTGCTCCTGATTGGAGGAGAGCAGCGTACTCGGCGTGTGGGTAGCAGAGTTGGGATTGGTGGAAGAGGACTATAAAGGAGGAGAGAGACAACATGCACGAGGAACATCTATCTGAAGGAACACCTGAGCAGCCCCCAGAGAGAGCCGGCCGGCGGTGTGCCGCTCCCCCACGGAAGTGGGGAAAGTGGCAGGGGGAACCGCCCTTCCACGGAGGTGGAAGGGTCGGTAGCCAACCCGGAAAGAACCAGCAGCAAACCCGGGAAGGGCCGAGCAGACAAAAGAACAACGCAGGGTCCTGTGTCGTTCCTCCGCGAAGAGGGGGAGCGACAATGCTCCTAGGTTATGTTAAGCTTGGTGTGTTAAAAATAGAATTGTATAAAATTCGACATAGGGGCACATCCTTAAAACATCAACATCACTTGGAATTTCACCTACACATTTTAATCACTTCACAAAATAACAACTCTGTTAAAAATCAAGAAATTGTATGATTCAATAGTGTTCTTTTTTTAAAATTTCCCCTTCAAAACCCTGAAGTACTAAACAACACACATTGCAGTTTTTATTACAATGTCCTGCTGGCTTCTAGAATAAATTGGTGATTTTATCAAATAAAAAATCACTCAGCATCTTAAAACACAAATTTTTATTTACTGAAATTCAATTTGAAATTTACATGTAAAGTGAAGGTAGTCAACTCCCTAAGAAGTTATAACAACATACATAATAGACATTAAGTCAACGAAGATTACAAACAAGATTTTCAGAAGTCTTCCCAGAATTTCATCTTCCAGATTCTTAGGAGTAGAAGTAGAAATCAATATCCAGTTTTTACCAGTCATATCCAGAATATTCTTATTCCTTAGGGAGAAAAAAGAGAAAAGAACTCTTGAATGAATACATAATCCTGATTCTTTCAATTCAATCTGGTATTTGCACTATAAAAAAAAGTGGCAAAAGTAAGTCTTCCAGAGAATTCTCCGTACCAACTTGTAACAAAGAACAAAAATATTTTTCTACTCCCCATTTTATGAAATAATCAAGGCATTTTATATATCAAAATTGCTTTTCTTCCTAAAACAAACAGCTCAAGACACTTGTATGATGAGAATCCTGTTTTCATGTTATCAGTAATTAATTTATCTACAAGGTACCTGTAGTAATTAGCAGTCAGTTTTATTAGCATTGGTGAAATTTCCATTGCTCTACCCATATAGTTGGCGATACCAAGAAATGATAATCTGAAGAGGAAGGTGGCGACAAAATTCTTCTAAAAATAAACAACAAAAGGTATTCTACATGTCCTTGAACTTTCCTCAAGATCCTCTCTCTCATGTTATGGCCACTTAATGAAGCATCAGCTGTTGAATTTCTCCAATATTTCTTTGTCACACAGAATAGCAGGAATTTTGCAAGGAATTAAGTGGTGCTCTGTTTGCCACACTGGCAGAACCTTCTACTTAATGTTTGTCAGGTGGGGAGTTCAGAGCCATTTCTAAGGTCTTTCACGAAGAATGTAAAGTCAAGTGAGTAATTTTCAAAGCTTCACACTGAAGTTTCTTACATATATAAAAAGTCAACTTAAAATGACTATCAATACCTTAGAAAAGTAGCAGGATTTGGGTCTTCAAATATTTTGACTGCTATTTTCACTCAAATATCAAAAGGTCATGTTGAACTTTAAGAGAATGAAAAACGGAAAGGGAAAGAGGTGGGTGTTACAGCTGCTTTCTTCTCCCACCTTGAGCAAATCTTGACTGATTTACAGAATAATCTGCTCCATTCCTGTAGCAGGGAATGGCTTGCCTAAACTACAGGGCAATCACTAGCAAAGTAAACATCTAGGATTTTCCCTATCTCCAAACATTCCTTTGCCTGTGTTTCAGCAACAAGGGACAACAAGTATGACAGGGTTGCAAAGTGACTTCGTGTCCTTCCTATACCCTCAGATCCCAGTGTGGGTTCTGCACTCTGAGCTCACTGGATTGTCTTCAAGTCTCTCCAAACAGCAAGAGGAAGCGAGGAGGGAGTAGAGAGCCATTTCTCACCTGAATTAGTCCCTGGTAGTGGTAGATGACGCGGTTCTTTGGTTTTCTCTCAGTTTGCTCTTGCTAGAAAAACGTGCATTCAGCACAGGTGGTCTCTTAGCAACCTTGGTCCCTGTGTCAAAGCACATTAAAAGGTTTTATTGGACAGTGAGGCAGTGTAGGAAGAAGAGAGGTAGGGAGCCTGTATGGAGAAATTCTACAAGTGCTTGCAAAACAAGATAGGACGGAGGTGTCAATGCATAGACTACAGCAAATATGACATTTAAATTCAACTTATCACAAAATTGAGTAGCTAAAAACTAAATGTTTGGCAGAAATATTAAGTTGAATTCTAAGATTTTTTTTGGCAGACTAAACATTCATGAAGCTTCTTGAAGAAACAACTTCCTAAAAATTATTTTATACGAACGTTGCAATATCTTCACAGCAAAACCACTACCACGAACAACCACCACCACACAAAAACCCTTTTCTATGCAAGAGACCTTAACTCATGAGATTATATGGCTTTAAAAAGAAGAAAAAGATTTATTTGAAAGGCAGAGTTACAGACAGAAAGAAAGTGCACAAGACAGATTGTCCATCCACTGGTTCACTCCCCCACGGGCTGGCAATGGCTAGGGCTGTCAGTCCAAAGCCAGGAGCCAAGAGCTTCCTCCAGGTCTCCCAGGTGGATATAGGTACCATAGCACTTGGGCCATCTTCTGATGCTTTCCCAGGTATATTAACAAGTATCTGGATGGGAATTGGAGTGGCTGGGACTTGAACCAGCAGCCATATGGGATGCCAGCATTGCAAGCAGCAGTTTTACCTGGTATGCCACAATATCGGCTCTGTATGCCTGTCTTTTAAGTATTATAAGTTTTAAGGTTGTGCATTGCTTTTACAAATAAGATGCAATAAAAATAAAAAAGACCAGGCTAATAATTATGGCTGCTCTACCCTTTAGCCATGAAATTATCTTTCAGATAATCTATGCTAATGACATTATTTGAGAGGCAGAGAGACAGAGACTGACAATAGACAGGGAGAGGCCAAGCCACTGATTCCTTCCCCAAATGCCTTCAATATCTGGGGCTGGACCATGTCAAGCCCAAAACCAGCAACTCAGTCCAGGTCTCCCATGTTGGTGGTAGAACACCAACTGGTTGAGCCATCACCTCCTATCTCTGAGGGTATGCATTACCAGGAAGATGGAATTGAAAGCAGAGCCAGGACTTGAACACAGGCACTCCACTGAGGGATACATGCATCCCAGTGGGGGCTTAATAGCTTGGTCAAACACTTACAGCTGATGTCATACTTTCTGTAGGCAGACTTAATGCTCGCTGCTTAATGCATTCTACTTGTCCTGTCCCTATCACCACCTGCTTCTTCTCTTTTTCACAATTGAAGCACATGTTGAATGTCCCTTGTCTGGCATGCTTGGGACCAGAAGTGCTTCAGATTCCCAATTATTCTGTAATAATTGCTTATTAATTGCTTATACATAATGAAATATCTTGGAGATGGGGCTCAAAGTCTAATCATGACGTTTATTTAATTTTCATATACACTTTATAGATATAACCTGAAATAATTTTTTAAAGACTTTATTTATTTGAAAGGCTGGTTGACAGAAAGAGAGAGATAGAAGAGAGAGAATGAGATTTTCCATCTACTGGTTCACTTCTCAGTAGAACTGGGCCAGGCCAAAGCCAGGAGCCTGGAATTCTATCCAGGTCTCTCACATGGATGGCAGGAGCCCTAGCACTTGGAACATGTTCAGCTACTTTCCCAGAAGCATCAGCAGGAAGCTGGATTGGAAGTGGAGCAGCTGGGACTTGAACCGATGCTCATATGGCTTAACCCACTACATCACGATGCCAGCCCCTGAAAATAATTTTATGTAGTTTTTTTGTGTGTGCCTCTGTTTCGACTGTGATCTGTCAAAGGAGGTCAGGTATGGAATTTTCCACTTGTGGCATCATGTCATTACCCAGAGTTCTGGATTTTGGGAGCAGGCATTTTGTGCAGTTATTAAGATACCACTTGGGATTTCCTGTATCCCATATTGGGGAGTCTGGGTTCAATTCTCAGCTCTGCTCCTGATTCTATCTTACTGCAAGTGTGCACCTGGAGAGCCAGTAGGTGATGGGTCAAGTACTTGCGTTCCGGCCACCCACATGGGAGAACTGTATTAAGTCCCAGTTTCCTAACTTTGGCCTGGTCTAGTCCCAGCTGTTGCAGGCATTTGAGGAGAGTGGCTAGGAGCCCTGTCTCTGCCTCTTTCTCTCCATGTCTCTCTTTCTCCCGGTGTTTTCCTCCCCCCCACCCCTGTTTCAAATAAATGGAAATTTAAAAATGTTTAAAGTTTTGGATTTTGGAACACTTCATATTTGGAACATTTTAGATTTTGGAGTATTTTAGATTTTGGATTTTTGGATAAGGAATGTTCAACCTATAAGCACACATACAGAATACCAGAGGAATCATATTAAATGTTACAAGTGAATAAATCATGAACTGAATGAGACTTTTACAACTTACACATATAACCACTAATCAGATCCAAAGTATTGTTTTCATCATGGGAAAAAAATAGATTCTACAACAGGAGGCTGGTTAAATAAGCCACGGTTCAATCCCCAATGGAATACCATCTATTTATCAGAATGATGGTTATTAAACTCATAGAAATGCTACTTGGAAAATGAAGTAATAATATGAACTCAAACTCAAAAGAGTTTGTGGAAAAAATGGATTTAAAAGATATGTATTTTGGTCCATAAATTTTTTGAAATTTATGCACAGTTGTTTCATAATACACATGTCCACAGAATTTTTGTGGATCCCTTATATTTAAATATGAGTGTACCTCATACAGTGGCCATCCTTATGGGGATATACCTCCATACTGGGTGTATCCCCCTAAAGAAATGAATGGCTATCTGCACCAAGACTCATATCTAAACATTATTTGTAATATCTTGGCCAGCGCCGCGGTTTACTAGGCTAATCCTCCGCCTTGCGGCGCCGGCACACCAGGTTCTAGTCCTGGTCGGGGTGCCGGATTCTGTCCTGGTTGCCCCTCTTCCAGGCCAGCTCTCTGCTGTGGCCAGGGAGTGCAGTGGAGGATGGCCCAAGTGCTTGGGCCCTGCACCCCATGGGAGACCAGGAAAAGCACCTGGCTCCTGCCATCAGATCAGCGCGGTGCACCGGCCGTAGTGCGCCGGCCGCGGCTGCCATTGGAGGGTGAACCAACGGCAAAAGGAAGACCTTTCTCTCCGTCTCTCTCTCTCACTGTCCATTATGCCTGTCAAAAAAAAAAAAAAAAAAAGTAATATCTTCAATGGGAAAACAACCCAAATACCCATTCATACATACACAAATTGTGTTGTAGTCATATAAAAGAATATGACAGAATAATGAAAACTAAACCACTGATACATACAAAAACAGGGATGAATCTTACAAACATAATAGTGAAATTTTAAATCAAAACACAAAAGAAAATACACAGTGTAAGTACATTTTAACTGCTGCTAGGAATGCTTCATCCCATATCTGAGTGCCTACATTTGAATCAGGGCTCTGCTCCTGCTAATATAGACCCTGGGCACCAGGAGGTGATGGCTTGAATAACTGGGTTCCTGCCACCCAAGTGGTAAACTCACATTGCATTCTGGGCTCCTGGCTTTGGTCTGGGTCAGCCTCTGCCATGGCAGGCATTTGGAGAGTAAATCGGAGGATGGGAGCTCTTTGTTTGTGTATCTGTGTGTCTTTTTCTGACACTGTTTTACTACTGCTCAAATAAATAAATATTTTATTTTTATTTTTTTATTTTTTAATTTTTTGACAGGCAGAGTGGACAGTGAGAGAGAGAGACAGAGAGAAAGGTCTTCCTTTTGCCGTTGGTTCACCCTCCAATGGCCGCCGCGGACAGCGCACCGCGCTGGTCCGATGGCAGGAGCCAGGTACTTCTGGTCTCCCATGGGGTGCAGGGCCCAAGTACTTGGGCCATCCTCCACTGCAGTCCCGGGCCACAGCAGAGAGCTGGCCTGGAAGAGGGGCAACCAGGACAGAATCCGGCGCCCTGACCGGGACTAGAACCTGGTATGCCGGCGCCGCAAGACAGAAGATTAGCCTAGTGAGCCGCAGCGCCGGCCTCAAATAAATAAATAATATATTTTAAAAAGCACATTTATACAAAGTAGAAAAGCAGAGCTGAAACGTGTGGCTCAGAGGTAGTAACAGTGACAGTGATAAATCTATAAAGAAAAGCTAGGGGTTGGCTAATGGGAGTCAGGAGAGTAGTGACTTCGCTGAGGACAGGAGAAGGCACAGGAAGGAGCTTCTACTGATGCTGTGTTTCTTGTTGGTGGTGGGGGTCCTATTGGTCACCACTTGCAAGGATTTGCTCAGCTGTACAAAGACATTTATGTGCTGTTCTTCATGTTCATTAGGTTTCATAACTGAAATGTTAGAAGAAAGAGAAAAAGAGCAGAGAGGAAAGTAGACAAATCTCACTGGTGGTCACAGTGGGTAAGATTGGGTAGAAGGCCTATGGGTCATTTTTTCCCCTTCCTTTTTCTATTTCTTACATTGTTTCATTTACAAGAATATTGTCTCTTGAGCTTCAGAGAACTAAAGAAAGAAGCCCTGTTACTGCTGCTCTTTCTCCCTCTCTGTATATCTGAAAGCAATTTATTGGCTTTGTCACACCAACCTTTAACATAAATGTGATCAAAAGTAAATTTATCAATGGAACATTTTAATGGAAATATGTAACTGACATGACAAATCAGTCCGAATCTCTTTTGCTGAAGGCCATGTTGCTATCTCATCAAAACACTCAAGAAAAACAGGAACCTGGGTGCCTCCTGCTAGCTGCCCTCCTTTGAGGTTAGTTTGGTTTCTGGACCTCAAATGTTGCAAGGACACAAATCCGTATCATCACAAGTTTATTAACAGACTCAGATTTTACCATGGATTAAAATTATATCAGTCACAGTCTTTGATTTGCATTAGTTCTTCCTCAGCCAAAATCTTGGTAATCAGGTCTTTGTTTAGGGGGTGGGAGTATGTTTAAAGCACATTCTTTCAGATCTTAATGAAGAATGGGATGGGAGA